CCCCCTCCACAGCCCTCAGGCACACAAATGCCTGACACATAAAACATAGTCTTTAGCAAAACTTAAGGGCACTCCAACATTGTGTGGGTGAGCCAGTGGGAGGAGGGGCTTCCATTTATCTGGATACAAAAATCAGGATGGTGATTCACAAAATAATAGAACAGCTCAGTTTGGGTACTGCCTTCTTCAGGGAGCCTTTCTTGCCTCCTAACATCCAAGCTGAGTTAGCGACTGAGTCCAGGCCCTCACTGTGCCCTCCTTACTGCTGGCTGCACCCCAGGGACATGCCTTCCACTGTCTCAGGGACAGAACTTCCTTCTCTCCTCCCTGTCCTCTCTCCCTGGGGCCTTACCATTTGGTCTCTTTCACTCTTCAGTCCTTTCTGGGAGGTTTACTTGAGAGCATTGAAAGACAGGCATAGGGTATGAGTAGCAGGCTGAGGGAGAGGCACAAGGTCTCAGAACCTTCTGGTAAGACTTGTCCTGGGAGTTCCAGGGATATCAATGGGTGTAGGCCGAGGCCTCTTTTGCTAGCTTTGTGGGGCTGGTACCACTACATCTGATTTGCAAGATCTCCTAGGGCTAGAACCTGGGCTCTCCTGTCCTTGTCTTTCCTGGATGACAGTATCACTAGCCATAATGTTCTCTCATGTTTAAATAGCTCTCTGCAGTTCACAAATCCCCTACAGAGCCATTCAGAGAAATTGCACCCCCATTTTACAGATGAGAAAACTGATGCCCAGAGAAGGAAAGGAACATCCCTATGGTTTTGGGACCTTTGAGTCAAGAATGTAAATTCACCTATGCAGTTGGCTTTGAGAAGTCATGTGCAAATAGGACAGCCCTTGACTTGGCTGGCTGGCTTTCCTTGATGTAGATGTCGGCTCAGCCATGCCCTCCCCATGTTATAGACAGAGTTGTGGGTGTATATGCTGAGTTCTAGATTTGTTTAACATTTTCTGCTTTTAAGTTCATGTTTGTGATCTACTTCACTTCTCACCACATCCATGGAATTGCAGGGGAGGTGTTCCTCCCTGTGACAGAACAAATTGAGCCCCACATAGCTGACCAAAGCAGGCCCAAAGAGCCCACTGCAGAGGGGCCAAGAATGCGTCAAGGTTGAACACCAGACATGTGTTGGATCAGCCACCATGGGCAAGGTTCTGACCTGAGAAAAGACCGCCCGTCACATGCTCTTCCTCACGCCAGCAGTTTTGTTAATTAACTGGTTCTGTTTGCCATTAGCCAGGAGCATAATGGCCAACTGACAGATGAATGAGTCCAGACAGAGAAGGAGGCAGATCCCAGGCAAACGCTCTGCCCTCTCTGCTTATTCACTCAGCCAGCGTGTCAGGCCTGCCAGGGACCTGGAGGGGGCGGGGGGTTGGCGATGGCAGGGAAAGGGATGTGTTAGACCTGGGGCCTCTCCTCTAGCTCCTCACAGTGCAGGGCAAAAATACGACACTGTGCATATTATAATTACTAACGCAGGTGCCAGGTACTATTCTAAGTACTTTACATGTATTTATCTCACTTAATCATTTAATGCTCAGAACAAGCTTCTGACGTGGGTACCACAATTAACATTCCCATCTTATAGATAAAATAATGAGGCACAGAGATATCACGCTACATATAAAATAATGTGCATGGAAAAAAAAAGATGAATTTGCTCACTGTGTTAGTAGTAGCTTATGAATTTTGTTTTCTATAAACCCTGTCTCCCAAACATTTTATTATATTACATAACTATGCAAACAATTATTCTTACACGTTGTCGTTGTTTATTAGAGTGAAATAAGAAGAAAGAACTGACAGCAGCTACAAGAAGTAAAGAAAACATTGTACATATTCCAAAAGGAGAAGATTTCACTTTTATCCCGGGAATACGGACAAAGTCGTTTTTAGAGGCAGCCTTGGATGATGGGGTGTTTAGCCCCTATGTAGAAGGGGCTAGGGTGTTTCAGGCTGAGGGCTCAGTCTGAGCAAAGGCATGAGAGTGAGAACATTCTGGAAACTGGCTGGCTGCTGTGTGATGCTGAGAGTGGGAAACCAGGCTAGGTCTAGTGTGTGGAGGCCAGGGAGCCCAGACTTGAGTGTATGGATGATGGGGAACCACAGAATGTTTCTGGGACAAAACAGGACTCCCCACATTCATCATTTTCAAGGACAAAAGCGTGTGCTCTCTCAGTGTCTCTGGGACCTCACTCCTCTCCATCACTTCTCTCCCCCAGAATAGAGTGTTACTAGCTGCCCCACTGCTCTTCCTGAGTTTCACCCATCTGATCCATCGTCCAAAAGAGAAAGTCCCCCAATTCCTGTCTGACCACATCACACCTCTCAAAATCTTCTACTGGCTCTTGCCATCTATGGTATCACGTGCAGATACTGCAGCAGTGCAACATTCTGGTATCCAGTATGGAGAGTAGACTAGAGGGAGGACTGCCACAAGAGACTGTCACTCAAACCAGTCAATTAACTTAAGGAAGAAGAATGGTCCCTGGGGATATAAAGCTCTGGGAGTGACTCTGCCCCTGTTGAGACCCTTTCTGGATTGAGAGGTATTAAGAGCTCTAACAGGCTGTAGAAGGTTAAAATCAGACCTCTCCCCACCAGTGTGAAGACCCTTCAGCTGGCTCTCCTTTGTCATCTCACTCTAAGAGGTCACTGAATTTCTTTATGTCTCAAATTACCAGTCTGTGAGTGGGGGTGGGGTATCAGGGTAAGGAAGCCAAAGTCAGGAGCACTCAGACTGCTGGGTGATCAGAGGGCCTCATAGATTCCTGGGAGAATCCCTCAGTTGGCAGAGAGGGTGGAGACAGCCAGGCAGAGGGGAATAAGTTAAGGTCAGTCTAGTACTCACCATTGCCAGGTCTCCCTGGGATCATGGGGATCATGGTTGTTAGGGATTGAATGTTTGTGTTTCTCCCCAAATTTGTATGTTGAAACTCTAACCCCAGTGTGATGGTATTAGGAGGTGGAGCCTTTGGGGGGTGATTAGGTCATGAGGGTGGAACCCTCACAAATGGGACTAGTGCCCTCATAAGAAGAGCCATGAGAGCTAGCTAGCTTTCCTTCCATCATGTGAGGGTATAAGAAAGTAGCAGTCTACAATCCAGAAGACATTCCTTACCTGAAGCCGACCACGATCTCAGACTTGCAGCCTCCTGAACTGTGAGAAATAAATGTCTGTTGCTGATAAGCCACCCAGTCTGTGGTATTTTGTTACAGTAGCCTGAGCTGACTAAGACCGTGGTGGTTGATCATCTAGTAGTGATGCATGTCTGCCATGTGCTAGCAACTACTCCTCACACTTACATTCACTGTCTCATTTAATTTCTTCAACAATCCTATGAGGTGGGCACTACTATCTCCATTTGGTAGGTAAAGAAGTGGAGGCCCAAAGAAGTCAAGGACCTGCTCAAGCCACACAGCTACGGTGCAGTGGAGCCGGGATCCAGGGCCCAGGCAGTTCACATTGAACTTAGAGGTTTAGACAGGTCGAGTGTCTGACACACCAGAGCCCTCACTCTTCCTCCTCAACCCAATACTCTGAGCTAGGAAGTGAAGCTTCAACAGGAAGGCATGCATGCGACCAATCTGTTGCCAGCCCTCAGTCACCTCTCTGCCTCTGGCCTTGGGTTCAGCACCACAAACAGCTCCTCCCAGCCTCAGTAATCCAGCGGGCCAACAGCCTCCTTAGGTTGCCGCTGTCACTGTTTGGAGTGCAATTTTCACACCATTTTGGCTGCCTGAGCTCTAAGAAGCCTTCTGGTCGAACCCCTTCCCTGTGTAAAGGAGGAAGCGAAGGCTTCTGGGAAAATTGTCAAGGTACATTGTTCTAGGTACCAAGGATAGAGCAGTAAACAAAGCTGATAAAGATCTTGTCTTCATGGAGCTAACGTCCCAGAATCATGCCAAGGCTTTATGCTCTCCTGCCTCCAGAGCAGGGGTCCTCCCTGACTGTTGAGTCTTTCAAAGGTGCCTCTTCTAAGGCACCTTTCCTGACTGACAACCTAGCCTGAGGGGGACAGTTCACTTCCCCCACTGAACACACAGGCCTGAACGTTCAAGTGGCCACATTGTCAGGGGTTGCCTGTAATTCCTGGTTTCAGGTTTCAGGTTTCAGGTTTGTGTTTCCACCCGGAGAGCAGGAGGCTCGTTTTCCCTTCCTCTCCTCCCCGTTCATTGCACTAGCACAGGGTTAGGCATACAGCACAGATCCTCAAGGACATATCTTTGGAAGGAGATGCTGCAGCTTTTTCATGGCATATTTTCTAGTGTGTCACAGTTCTTAGGGTCCAGGAAACTTCCGAGGTTGAATATCTTATAAATTATTTGTAATTTTGTTGTGATCCTGGGAGGTAGTTGGCACAGCGTTTGTCTATTCCGCCATCTTACCGGAAGTCCTCCTCACAGTTCTTAAATACATCATTCACTCATTCATTCATTCATTCAAGGAAAGATAAGATCAAGACTACTGGAAAAGACTTGGGAATCATCCACTAACAGGAGAGAGTTCCAGCTGTGGAAGGGATGAGATCCCCCAGAGAGAAGAGGGAAGGTAGAAGGAAGGAAGAGGCCTGAGGACATGACAGAACCTTGGGGAGAACCAACATCTGGGAAGCGGGCAGGAGAGAGGGAGATAGAAGAGGCTGTCAGAGGGGCAGGGGGAACTTACAGAGAACTGCATCTTGGAAGCCAGGGGGAAAAGTAGGTTTCCAGAAGGGAAAGCACAATGATGGCACCTGCCAGGGAGGTTAGGCCAGCAGAGAAGCATGGGCCGTAGTAAGTAGGACTCAGAGGTGGCCATGGGCCCAAGCAGGTCACGGGAGTTGGGGGGGCAGAAGCCAGATTGTCGTGGCTTAAGGACGTGGGGGCAATGCATGCCACACATGCTACAGAAATTTGGTTGAGAACGGAGAGAAAAAACATGGGCTGGTAGCCAGAAGAGAAAGCAGAATTGAGGATGGACAGAAATTAGATTATGAGGAAGGAGCCCGGGCGAGGGAAGAAGGACAGGCCTGAGCTGGAAAGGCCGAGAGAAGGTGGCAGGTGGAATCCACAGGAGGCCTCCCACCCTCACGCTGGACGCAAGAGGAAAGGGTGGGTGATTTTCAGAGGAGCCCTAGGGCAATTTGAGGGGGCACAGTTCAGAAAGCTAGGGCTTTTGGTTTTGGGGGTGGTGCAGGCAGCAGTGGGAGGATCTAGTTGTCAAGATTTTTGAGAAAGGAAGAGAAGGTGTGGCCTTGCTTTGCAGGGAACTGGCCGGCATCACTGAGGGAGGAGGCACAGGAGTTGCTGAGGGGTGCTGAGTGTTCCGGGAGCCTGGAGAGGAGTTGGTGGTAGTGTCACCTCTTCCCACCAGAGGGGCGGAAGGAGGCCAGCTGAGTTTGGCTCCCCCAGGCCACCCATGAGCCCCCTACAAGCCTGGGGCTACTCTGACTTTGCTTTTGCTCCTACCCAAGCCAGAGAGGGGAGGTTTAAGTGGGGTAAGGTGGGGAACCCCCCACCCCTGGAGCCCCTACCAGACCAGATGATCTGCAGAAGGTGCTTTCCCACCTGCTGCCCATTGCTGTCTGCTATTCCTGAAATGCCGTCTGCTCTCAAGACAATGGTAATGAAATAAAATCTCTCAGAAAGTGCTGCTGTTGTTTTATTTTTTGTGAGTAAAGGTGACAGGGATTTAGGGCCTCAGCAAGATGTCTGCTCCCCACACGAGTCCTGTGCTGGAGGAAATGACCAGCAGTGGTTTTTACCCCAGACTCTCACTCAGCTTCAGTTTTACTTTCAGCCAGAGAAGCAGGGAATGCCGGAGGCGGGTGGGGACGCTGAGGCTTAGCAAGGGGAAGTCTGACGGATCAGAGTAGATTCAATGGCCCTTCCTCAGTGCGCACTTCCTGCCAGGCATCTGGCCATCCAGCCAGGCCTGGGCACTCGCAGGGACAGGCTGCCTCGCCCTCCTATGGCAGGCTGCTCCATTTTGTATGGTTTTGAGTGGTTCCCAGTTCTTCTCTAATCTGAGACAACGTCGACCTCCCTATAACTTCCCTGTTTGATCCGAAGCCCACCTGGGTGCTCCTCCTGTCCTGTGACAGGAGCAGAAATGTGACACCTGCACAGCCCGTACTCTCTTTTCCTGACAAGACTTTGGCCGTGCTAGCAATGGAATTTGGTGTGTTGGTTCTTTCTTTCCACAGTACGTGTTTACTCTGGAGCCCATTGTACGGGCGGTAAGAGTTGGGGCAGAGGGACAAGTCTGGGGTCCCACTGTCAGCCAGTGACAATGCTGGGGTCATAACATTTCTCGTTTCCCAATGTGCAGCCCAGAACTCCCTGAGCAAGACCTGGGCTGCCTTTGCCCACTGCTGGGCCAAAAATAGGACCTGGGGTGGCAGGGGCAGGTCCTTGGTGATGCTCCCATGCTCAGCAGCCCCTGCCTTGTGCCTGGGCCACGCAGGAACTTCCAGTGGATAGGGTATATGCCTCTCTCCTCCTCTTCCCCGAACACCCTCCTACTCCCAGAGGGGTCACCTGGAAAGGCCCCTCTGGCACCCAGCTGCTGCCTGCGCCTGCACCCTCCCCTCCCCGCCCCCACACAGGCAGCACTCACATGTGGCCTCCAGGCCGGTCCTCCCTGGTGAGCATTCCCTCCTTCTCCATCAGCATCTGCCGGAAAGTCCTGACCTTCTGCCGCGTCTCCTCTTCAGAGTACCTGCATGGGTGCAGGGAGGGTGAGGGCTGTCCTCTTGGCTTAGGTTCCCTTCTAGCCTGTCCCCCCAGCCCTCAGTCGCAAGTGCACTTTCCACCTTGCAATGACCTGTCCATGGTCATACCACCCAACAAGGCTCCCAGTGCCGGGGAAGCTCAAGTCTTGTCCACTTTGTTCTGAAGCAGCCGGCCAACCAACGACACAAACAACCAGCCAAACAAACCAAAAAACTCAAGAAAGAATTGTTCCCAGATGTGGGGAAACTGATCAGATGAGGCTGCGCCTGTCCTCCTGCCCCTCCTTTACCCGCAGCTCAGTTGTCCCCTGTCCCCTGCCCCACATCCAGGCTGTAGTCTGCTCTCTGGACACATTTTTGGAGAGAAGTGAGAATCCATGGCTTTTTCTGCTTTCCTGGCCTCAAGGACATCTGATCCTCACAATAACCTTGGGAGACCCTCAGAGCACCCCCTCTGCAAGATCAAGGCTGCCAAGTGGCTTGCTGGGGATCCCGGAGCCAGATCTATTGTTTCCTTCTGCTGGTTGGGGGTGGGGTGGAGGTGGATAAAATCTGGGCCTTGACTAGAATCTCCTCCCTTCTTTACCCCCTCTCCCTCCCTCCTTGACCCAGGTATCAGGCTAGGGACCAAAGTCCAAAATTTTCTACTCCTTATCCTTGCTCCCACACCCTGGGGTCAGTTGTCATCCTCTCTCATTGCACCACTGTGATAGCTGCTGACTGGGCCTCCCAGCTCCTCTGGCATTTCTCCATGCAGCCTCTGTCCATGCTGCCCAGGGTGGGGGGTGGGGAGTGACGGGGTGGAGGGGTGGGGATGAGGGTGTCTTTGCTCACACAGCCCCTTGCCCTATGCCCAGCATGCAGCAGGTGTCCAGTGGCTGCTGCTAAATAAATTTTAGGGTGGGGGAACCGGTTGGCTCAGTTGGTTGGAGCGTGGTGCTGATAGCTTCAGGGTTTCTGGTTCGATCCCCGCATGGGCCACTGTGAGCTGCGCCCTCCCCAAGGGAGTCAACTATGCCTTGTAGCATGAAAGCAATGTGTAACCAATGACCATGGCTATTCCCCAATAAAATTTAAAAAAATAATAAACCTTGGGGTTCCAGGCCCCCACCCTCTCTCCTTCCTGGGCTGCCAGTCATTGTTCTGGAAGAAAACATAGTGGCAAATAGGAACAGTGTCCTTTCTTGTCTCTGTCATCTGCTCACCATCCACTCTCTGTCCACACAGCAGGCCCAGCCCTCCCCACTCAGCCTTCCCATGGTACATTGTTCCCTCTCAGGGACCCCATATCTTTTCTCTTTCCTTCTCTCCTCAATCCTTTCCTTTCCTCCTTCAACAAACATTTTATGGATTGACCCTGCCTTTTTAGAGAGAAGTTTGGCAATTCTTTTCAAAAGCCTTAAATAATGAACACAACCTTCGACTCATAAATTAACTTCCAGGTTTACTCAGAGGAAATAATCATGGCTAAGCTCAAAGATATGACTCATGAGATGGTTACAACAGCATGGCTATCCCCTGACCAGGTTAGGTGCTGATGTTTATGTTTCCATAGCAATCCCTACTCCTGGATCCTGGCAGGTGGTTCATATGCTACATGGTGTCTGCTGACTTCTCTGTATTCTGCACTGGCCTGAGAGTTCCCTGCGGGCAGGAACCTTGTCTCTCAGGATTGCCATTGTGTCCCCAGCACCTGGCACCATGCCTGGCCACATGTAGCACCCAACATTTTTAATAATTTGATAAGTGAGTGACTGGTGTTGGAGAGGCCTCGAAGAGTTTGAAGGCTGGATTTTCATTTTGGAAAGATGGCTTTGATGGCTGTGTGGCTGGAGGAGAGGGACTGGAGAGCAGGGAGGCTGGCACTGGGCTACCACAGGGGTTCTGCAGGAGATGGTGAAGTCAGAGCTAGAAAGTGGGCCTGAGGATGGAGGGGGACAAGTGGACAAAAAGTTGTCTAGGTGGGAGAATGGCTGGGACTCGGGGACTGACTGAACATGTTGGAGGGGATTAGGTGAGGAGCATAACTTCGTAACCAGGTGTCCCCTGATCTCCAGCTACAGTCTGACCCTCTGCAGGTTCAGGCAGCTGTGTGGCCCACCTAGGGAGGAGCGAATCCTGCCTGGCAGGCGGAGAAGTCCATCTTTTCCAACCCTCCACCCCTTCTACAGAGAGGGTGTGTGTGGGGGGGTGCTCAGGCCACACTGCGCTGACACCTCTAACCCAAATTCACCAAGTTCTGAGCCCTGGCTCATGGTGCCTGCCTCAGGCCCTGTTTAGCTTATGGCTGGAGGGTCCTTGGCCTTGTGCGTTGGGCAGTACAGAGCTCTTGGATGGCTGGGCTGGCCTGGTATCTAGGAAGAGGGGGTGGTGGCTTCTTTGAACAGTATAGACACAGAGAAGCTGCTCCCATCTCAACTTCTCAGGAGATTAGCACAGAGACAAATAGCACAGGCCCTTTAACACAGCTCAGCTCCCAACTCATAGACCCCTGGGAGGGAGACACAGGTTGGCTGGACCATTGGCATGAGGCCCTGCACATGGTGGGGTTGGGGAGGAGGTGGCCCAAGAGCGAGGCTGGGCCAGATCCCCTGTTGGATGAGAGAGACATCAGGCTATGCGCCAACCCGATGCCTCAGGGTCTGTGAAGCATGTGAGGCTGGGAGATGGGTGTCATTAAGATCTAGAGAAGGAACTTGGGCTCATTCCATAGCTGGCAAGTTGAAGGCAAGTTGACTAACTCCAGCAACTGCTATTGGGGTGCTAGGGGTGCTGGACTGACCCACTTGGGAGGCTTGGAAAAACCCCCTCTATGCCCCAGGGTTTATTGCTGGGAGAAGCTGGGGACCCAGGGATGACATCTGGTTATAGGGCAAAGAGGTATCAAGTGTGACCAGCACTTCTAAGGCTCCCCTCCCCTGATATCTCTTGAGGTCAACACTCTCAGCTGAGGCCACGAGGGACAGTGATTAAGAGGTGAGGCAGGATAGCCAGGCAGTCCTGGTTTTGAGTCTTGGTATCCCACTTCACACTTTCTTGCCTGTGACCTTGGACAAGTCCATATACTTCTGTTAGCCTTAGTCCCTCTGCCCCCTGTGTAACAGGATAGTAACCTGCCTTTCAAGGTTTATAAGGATTAAGGTAGATGATGCATACAAAGCTCTTTGTGCAGGGCATGGCACGTAATAGGTGCTCAATAAATCATGGTGATTGAGGACGTTTTTTACCCCAGAGTGGTGGGTACAGAGGGTCTAGCCATTCTGATTCCGGGCTTCCTGCCTTTTTCCACGCTAGACCCCTACCAGGTCAGCGTGGTTCCCGGTCAGGAATCTCCTGGGCCCCTTCTCTCTGCTCCCCCAGGAGGAAAAGGCTGAGATAGTAGGAAGGCTGGTAACCAAACCATCCACTCCCTCTGAAATGGCAGCACCTGCCAACCTAGGGCCATACAGGAGGCCTGGCTGGCATCGGCCCAAGCCTCAGACTAAAAGTCAAGGGTTTGGATAGGAAAGGGGGTTTAGGGAGGACAATATGTCTCAGCCAGGGTGGCTCCCTCGTCCCCACTCTACTCTATGAGAAGGACATGCTAAAGTTGTTGTTACTTTGGGGACTTCTTGGGTCACCCTCTGAGTATGGGGTGGGGTGAGGGGACACTGCGTTTTAAAAGAGGTGCCCAGAGTTGGACATGTTTTATTCTGCCTGTTCATCCTGCCAGGTCTAGATAATTCCTTCTCTGGTTGTTAATTGATTTTCACCGCAGCTCTGAGGGGGTGGGCAGCCTCACTCTTCCCATTTTATAGATGAGGAAACAACAGGGGGAAGGGAAGGCTCAAAGCTCCAAGCCCAGCTAGGGGCAGAGCCTGCTCTGTCCACCTCACTGCCACCACCACCATGTCCTCACAGGAAGGGGCCTGGGTAGGGTGGGTGGGGGGGTGTTGTGGCTGGGCTGGGAGCATCACATTGCTTGGGCTGGGGGCTCTGTCCCCACTCCCATGGTGATTGCAGGCTACACACAGAGGCTGCCCTGGAAGGTGATTCCAAATGCAGCATCAATCACTAGCAAATTAGCTAGCAACCCATCAATATTAAGGAAAGGATTGCTTTTTAATGGGGCCAAAGAATGTGTGTTCCTGTGACTAGTGGGAATATTTGTCAAATGCGTGAGAACCTGGTAAATAAATGCGAATGAGCCAGTGTTTCTAGAAATGGATATTAATGACTGGATTTGATAACAGGGCAAGGGTCCCTACTGTTTGTGGAGCACTTTCTGGGGTTTGGCTAGGAGCGAAGGAGCCCCGCATGTGCCTCTGAACAACTCTGGAAGGTAGGTGTTCCTATTCTACAGGTGAGTAATTGTGGCTTGCCCAAGGTCACAGGCCTGGGCCGGAAACCTGGATTGTTGGGTTTCAGAGCGGCTATGATCTCCACCCACTAGGCTGCCACTAAGAGATGGGAGGGGAGGGGATGGTGACTGGAGAGCTAGCTCTGTGGGAGACTCCAGCCTAAGGACCACCTGTGGTGAGGGCTTGGGTAGGGGTCAGGGGCCCTCACTGGAAATCTGGAGACCTAGTGGGTGCTTCCCAGGGAGGCACAGGTCCTTGATGGAGGGGACTGACACCAAGGACACGGCAGAATGCCATCCCCCTCTACCTGAGGCTGCCCTCACCTGGTAATGACCCTCCCACGTGCAGCGAGGGGCTGGACCAGGAGTCGATTCAGCCAGCGGAAGAAGGCTTGAGGGAGAGGAGCTCCGTGAGGGAGGGGCCTTAGGGTTACCTGAAAGGCTGGGGCTCTGGAGGGGGAGGGCTTACAGAATGGAAGAGGAGAGGGCTTAGTCAGGGAAGAGGGGCTCAGAAAGGTGGTGGGGGTCTGTGAGGGGTTGGGGGCAGTTTCCAGAAGTACAGCCCCGCAGGCGGCCTCCTTCCTCATCCCAGTCATCCCTCCTATTTCCTAGCCATGTCCACCGCACACACTCCCTTCACTCCTGGAGTCACCCAACTCAGCAGGATTTGCAGATTTATTGGGTTGTCGGAAAAGTCATGACGCATTTTTGCAACGAAAAGCATAGAAAAAATACATCTTGACTTTTCCAACAACCCAATAATTGAGGTCCTGGGGTGCTCTCTGCAGAAGGAAAATCCATCCCATTCCCTACTCAGCCCTGCCCTCTGCTCACATTCACAGCTCATCAAACCTGTTTTCAGCACCAGCTGGAGGCCTCCTTTTGCTCTCTTTTCAGCAGCCTTCCATCCATCCATCCATCCATCCATCCATCTATCCATCCATCCATTCATCCCTTCCTGCAGAGACCCTCTCCTCCCCAACCTGGCCCCCAGCTGGAGGTGAACACCAAGCCCCTGTGCCCCTTTCTTTCGCAGGTGGCCCTGGACCCAGGCCCGGCCTTGGCCTGCTTTCCTGATGGCCTTCCACTGGTGGCTATCTCTGTCTGAGCCTCCGTGTCTTCCTTGGCTCCACAGAGACAGTGAGCCATGTCTTGGCTACCTCTTGGGAAGTCCAAGAGGCCTGGTTAGACAGACAAAAGTGTGGTGTGGAAGGACTGCTGTGCACACGCTGTCTGCCCCCATCAGGCTCCAGGCCCAATTGCATGCACTGGGGTTTTTGATTTCTCAGCTCACTGACAGTGCGTGTCTGGTGGGCAGGTCCTGTTCCCAACTTTGACTCCCTCCACAGCCAGCCCTCTTGTTTCAAAGTACTCAGGGCAGATGCAAAAGGGAGTCTTGGGACCCCCAGCTTTATAGCAGCTGCACAAATGGGTAGGCTTTGTTTTCTGTTTCTCTGCCTCCAGCTCCATGTGTGAGGGCTGTC